GTGAAGTGTGTGAAGAGAGTGAAGTGAGAAGAGTGAAGAGAGAAGAGGTGGAGTGTGGGTTTGAGTTTAATCATGAGTTTTGGGAAGAGAGTGCATGGGGAGAGGGGAGATGGCCAGATTTTTGAGGCATTAAAGCCTCCTCTCTCCTAAATTCAAATTTTTATAAAAAATCCCTCCTTAATTTTTATAAAAATCTAATTTTTATAAAAATCTAATTTTTATAAAAGTGATTCTTTAAGCAATTTTTGATTTATTTAAAAATCTTTTTTAACTAATAAATTATGATTAATACTTGTAATTTATATTTCTATTTCATTGGTATAATCCATAATTTGATTAATAAAATTTGATATTAGAAAGTTTATAGCCAAATTTTATAAAGTTTTTAAGCTTTAAGATTTATAAATTTGGATTTTTGGCTGTTTAGAGTTTTTGGAACATTGATTGATATTCAACAACATGTTGAAGTATAATTAGAATGTTTTAATTTATTTTTAGAGTTTTATACCCTATTTCAATTATAACAAAGCTTGAAGCTTTATTCTAATTATAGTATTGGCATTTCCTATTGTAGCTAAGCAACTTACTAGAATTGTAAGTATCAAGTATATTAGTCCTAGACCTTAGTTGGATCCTAGTTTATGCAAGATTTTTGACCTAATTTATACTACTAGGTCATGACATGTTGTGCATGAATGGTTATTATAAAGATGCATGAGTCCAAGAATGACCTGAATTGGCAGTTGTCACATCTACTCTCTCTCTAACTTTCTCTCTCTAGAACTCGAAATCAAGCCAAAACATCCAAATCAAGATCCAAATCTCTAAGGTAACTACCCTAGCCTTTAGTTTAGCATTTTTGGCATTTAAATTCATGAAATATATGAGGATTTGGAACCTTGAACATGTGTTCACGGCCCTAGGACCTCCTTAGGCCGTAAACACATAACATGTGGGGTTTTTGGCCTTAAAACCCTTTCAAACTTCATTTGGAGCCTAGATATGACTAAAGGACATGCATGCATGGAATTATAATACCTTAAACTCATGATTTAGGGCATGAACATGAGTTTATGGCCCAAGCACATGCTTGGACCACAAACACCTATTCTTAGGGAGTAAACTTAATTTTTGGTGTTAGTTTGTCCCTAAACACCCCCAACAAGCTTCCATGAGTGTATAGAACCCTAAAATCCTTCAAGAAATGAATCAAAACTTGTTTCAAGGGGGAAACCTTGAGTTTATGGCCCAAGAACATTCTTGGACCGTGAACTCACCTCCGTAGACCTTAAACTCACTTTTGTGTGTTAAGATGCTACTTAAACACACCATGAGCCTTAGAAATGAGTCTAGAAACATCCTCAATCAAGTAAAGGACCTTAAATCATGCCAAAACTACCCCCCCTTGGATGTTTACAGCCATAAACCTCCTAATAACATCTTCTTAGGCCGTAAACTGCATTATATGGTCCATATGTGAGTTTAATCCATTCCGATACCCTAGTTTTGATCCTAGCTAATCTTCCTAAGTAAGGTAACGCCATTTAGCATCATAGAACACCCCACCCATGAGTTTACAACCGTAAACTCATGGGGGATGGTCATTAGGGCCTTAAAACCTCTTGTAAGCTTACTCTTGGAGAGTAAACTCCATATCCAAGCTTCACATGTCCTTAAATGCCACTCGGGTCCCTCCAAACAGTTGAAATGAGATGTTTCCGCAACTAGAAGTGTTTGTCCCTAACAAATAAATAAACTAAGTCCTAATTAGATACAAATGTGTATCTTTTCATTATAAATAGGAATATCATAAGTTTGCAAGCCTCGAACCAACATTTAAGATCCGAAATCGTCACGTTTCTCGTCCGGTGAGTTCATACCCCTACGCTTTTTTTGTGTTTTTCAACGTTTTCAGGGGGGAATACAAGCAAACTATAATTGTTTTCAAAACATAACATTGATGTGTTTCAAATAATATCTGGCAAAATTTATAAGCACTTTTACTCCTTGTGTATTATGCTGAGCATAAGGGATGATTTATCAACTACAACTAAATGGATTTTAGTTAAGAAAATAACCAAACTGATCAAATTATTATGGGAATAATTTGGGGTTCTATAGTTCTTGTTTTATCATGTACTGTTATGTGTATAATGTTATTAGATAAACTATGTCTGATTCAGTTTATCTTCGCATCATTTGAATGTATTGCCAGATAGTTTCATTGTATGTATTTATGTTCACTGTATTATATTTCATAATCTTTTGTATGTTTAATATTGTATGAAAACCTTGTGAATAGTTTAGTACTAGTTAGTGAGTTCATCACTACCCTTTATGGATGATTAATAAATCCTCCCCGGAAGTGTAACCAGAGTCTCCTGGAGGGAGAGCGAGGAATTTGTGAATAGATCTATTTGGGACTAACAATCCCACACCTTAACTGCTAGCTACAGTTAGGCAGGCACGCTTGGGGTGACAAATTCTGGATATTGTCCGACGTCTGACAAGCGTCAAGGAGGTCTCGTTGTCATATCAGCATGGTTACCCGACTCACAATACGTATTAATATAAGTTTATTCACGACTTTCGTTTTGGATTTGAGTTTATATCAATCTTCTATCTTTTGATCTTATCTCTAGTACGGGATGGTAATCCCATGGTTTTTAGTCTACAGGGTTCATATCTATTGCAGGATGTTATTTCTATGGTTAGAATCTATATCTAGTTCGGGATAGTAATCCCATGGCTTTATCCAAATATCTTATATCTAGTTCGGGATAGTGATCCCATGGTTTTATCAAACAATCTTATATCTAGTTCGGGATAGTAATCCCATGGTTTTATCAAACTATTTTGTATCTAGTCCGGGATAGTAGTCCCATGGTTTTCAATCTATATTTTCAAGTATATCAAACTATCTTGTATCTAGTTCGGGATGTTAGTCCCAAGGTTTTCAAACTACTTTCTATCTACAGTTCGTGTATATTAAAGTATTTTATATCTAATTTGGGATAGTAATCCCATGATTCTCAATATATAGTTTTGTGTATTAAACTATACTCTGTGTTATTCAATCAATCTTGCATTTAGGAAAATATGGGATTTTCCTAGGGTTAACATATAACGCGTAATTGAACTGTAATGAAGGATAACTAAACTGTTTAACATAAGAAAATATGGGATTTTCTTGGATAACAAACCTTTTCGGAAAACTAAAGGAAACTGGTACATTTTCAGAAAACAAACATCTTATGAACTCACCAGCTTTATGCTGATTTTCAAACGGCTTGTATTCTCAGGTCCAAGTTAGACAGGTACCCGGTGATATCTTTTGGTGAAAACAGAGAGCTCAGAAGACTCGTCTCAACTTTTTTTCATATGATATATGTATAACACTTGTACAATTTACTTTTGAAACAAATGTAAACTTTCAAATATATGTAATGTAATGGTTGTTTACTGTGATTACTATGTACATTGGATTTAATACTCAACGTGGAGTCAACCCCGGAAATGTTTCCGCCTTTTGTTTTCGGGGTGTGACACCTTGTCATAAAGGAAGACAACACGCATTTGCGTGTTGTAACCTTACGACGCATGTATTTATGACACGAAATGCGTATCAAGGAAACCCCTGTCATAAAGGAGGTCGACATGCATTTTTGCGTGTCATAATTTTAAATGTTTTTAAAATTATATATTTTTGATAGATTTACTAATTTTCAAATTAAATAACATATTAAAAGTCTCATAATACAAAATAAAATACCATAAACAATAAAAATAATTCATTGCACGTTTGCAATAATATGTCAAATACAAATAATCATTCCAATAGTAAGTAAATGTAACATATTGCTAATATTACATAATATTTATTATAGAAAACAAAACATGTACAACCTTAAAAGAAACCCATTACTAAATTCTCCTTTGACAATTTCCTTTCTAAGAGAATAACCTGAATGCAGGAAGTTTGGGAGGCTGCAGGGCATGGAAGGAGGTTGTTAGAGCTGTCAGAAGCTGCACATGGCAAATCGGTACAAACAAGAAGCTTGAAGTTGAAGGACCTTTAGTCGATTTCAAAAACATCCTAGATGAAATTTTTTTAGTGCTGTCCACCAATGAGAAAATTACTACAAATTTCAGAATTTGCAAACAAGTTGCTGAATTGACATACAAAAGGCAATAATAATAAAAGAACTTGACTCATATGTTGTGAAGTATATGCAACAGGACCTCCAGCATAAATTAATATTTCAGACCCTTCAACCTAAAACCATAAAATTGTGATGATTGATGATAATTTCAAAGTCTAAAGACACTTTAGAGTCTAAAGGCAGAACCTAAGAAAAAAAGTCCTGGATTTTTCATTTTCTTAATAATTTTGAGTCCAGTATATGAATGATGAAATCCCTATTTCGTATTAATAATAAACTTCAACTTCAAACAGGAAAAGTCACTTGATATATATAATGACAATTAAACTATATCAAACACAAATAAATTAACCACTGCATATGTTAAATGAAAAAAGTACAGCATATGATAGTAAGAAATTAAAAAAATTGAAAAACCTACCCGAGATTAAGAAAGAAAGGTTTGGTTCTGCTTCTTAGGTATGAGTATAATGGATGAGCGGTGGTTATCCCAATGTCATACGTGGTGGGATTCAGACTCGTTGCAGGAAAAACCTCTCCAACGGCTTCAATTTATCCTGAAGTGTTTCCATTTTACAATGTTATTATGTTACAATGTCATAAGATCCCTCCCTATGTAATGAATAAACAAATATATTGCTCTTTCTTGCATTTAGCCCTTATTTCATTGTTAATGAAAAAAGAAAAAAAAAAGAACTTTGAGGGTTAAACAACCAAGAGAACCACTACAGATAAAGTAATAAAAAAATGGTTTTAGGGTTCATATTGTGACAATGAGAAAGATATAAAATTCTAGAATAAGTAAGTTTCTAAATTCATGAAAAAAATACTTGTTGTCTACTTTGCAAGCTGCCATCTTACAACACGGTGGATAATATCCTTCCGAATGGGATGATCAAAAGCATCACATGCCAACACCGTTAGTCCTTTGTCTTCATTCTGAAAGCTTGTAACTAGGATCACTAGGTCCTGTAGTTGACCTGCGTCAAAGTTTTCATTCAGAAGTTAACTAAAATTGAAAAATATTATAAATGGTGTAATTGTGTAAACTTACCAACTACTTTTCTCAAACTAGGAAGATCAATGAAGGTCAAGTTCAAAACTATAAATGATCAGAAATTCAGATATAATAGATTGATTAGTAAACTTACAACTATGAATGTTGTAATTGTCCCTCTACATTCTTGATTCTTCAAGGGGTAAATCAGTAAATATATAACTGACTTTTGGAATATAATAATCAGAGAAAACTGAATTTGGCAACTTCCTTGGATCTCAATCATTCTGGTAGTATTAGGGAAAGTTCTACAAACTTACTTCTTCTAAAACAATTGCAGACATCAAAGAAATCAGACGATTCCGGTTAAACTCGCGACCAGTGGAATCCACAGCAGCAAATCTGATTCACACACACCATAATTGACATAATTTCACAAAATCCTATTCATAAAGGAAAACATACAATATACAAAATATCAGAAGATCACCTATCAACATCAGTGTCAAAGATGACCCCTAAATCGACTTTGTTATCAAGCACAACTTAAGTAATTGCCTTCATTGCTGCCTTATCCTGGGGGTTAGGGATATGATTGGAAAATAAACCTGAAAACTGGTCAAATTTACTTAAGTTGGTTAAGTAGAAAATCTTATTCGTTCTATCAACTGACTGCCAGTAGTAATAGCACCTAAATGCTCCAACACATTTCGCTGAAAAACAAATAAGATTTGAAAAGTAATCTTCACACACACACAGATATATATATATATATATATATATATATATATATATATATATATATATATAATTTACCTTATGTTTTATACATCATTCTTAAAAGATAACTTACAACAAGGCTAAATAAGTAAATATACAACCACCTCCATGAACCCAAAGCCTGAGCATGCTTTCTCTTAAACAAGACAACTGAGGATCAAGAGTATATAACAATTTTTAGATCTCTTGCGAAAGCCTGCATTGAAATTAGTGATCTCTCAAAGACTAGACCAAACTTTAGTCTTTCAGGTGGCAGAAAGAAGTCTCTAACATAAGTAGTGAAATTGTATAGGGAAGACTCAAACAACTAGAACTCCTTAAAACTACAGGAACCTTCATCACCGGTTTTCATTTTCTCAGCCTCCAAGAAATCACTCTCATTCAGAGGAGCAAATTCATCAAGTCCAGGAAGTCCAGTAAACTCATCACAGGGGATCTTTTCATTCCCCCCCCCCCCCCCCCTATTCCAAAAAAATAAATAAATAAATAAATAAAAATGTGCATTGTTATTACCAGGACCTTCTATTTTCTTTATGGATCATAATTATGTGAAATTATAAAGTATAAACTTCCATCCACCTGATTCTTGGTCCCATCAGTTGAACTTGATGCACTTTTTTCTCCATATAAACCTGCCAAGTAACACCTGCATATCAATCACACAAACCTGCATATAAACCTCCATTAGATTTGTTTATGTAAGAAGGTGTAACTATTAACTTGAGAGTAACAACACAATATACTACTTGTCTTCATTTTCAGATAAGGTGCAACGGCGTTGCTGTTCAAGGTAACATCCAATATTTTTTCCTGTTTTTACTTTTTACAATTACAAAATTACCAATATCACTTATCAGTGTGCATTGTATTCATTACCTATGTTAATGTTACAGGATCCAACAAAGATTTCAACATATCGTGACAGATGGTTTCCAGGAACACAAGAAGAATATGAACACGCACTCTAAACTTCAATAATCGTATACATTGGCAACATGTATTTCTACACTACTGAAGAGAAACTCTATGAGCTGTTCTCTCGTGTGGGAGAAATCAAAAAGATTATCATGGGTTTAGACAAGAACACAGAAACACCATGTGGCTTCTGCTTCATCATGTAATATAATCATTTCACCTTACAAATAGTAAATGATTTATTTTAGTTGATAAAGGTTTACTTTTTTCTTTTATTCTTTTTTTTAAAATAAGGTATTATTCTAGGGAAGACACTGAGGATTCAGTGAAATGCATAAGTAGGACAATTCTTGATGATTGACCTATTCGTGTTGATTTTGATTGGGGGTTTCAAGATGGAAGACAATGGGGATGTGGCCATAGTGGTGGACAACTTAGAGATGAATATCGCACATATTATGATCCTGATATCCTTTTATTTTTTACTTAATTAGTTAAATTTACCTATTTGCCCTTCTCTTTCATGTTAAAATTGGTTATGATTGATATGAATGTAAGGGTAAAGTGGTCATGGCATTGTATGCCATTTTGTGGCCCTATAGAGATAAACAAACATGGAGTAAAAAAATTGAATTAAAACACTCTAGGTTTCCTAAAGCTTGAGTTTTTAAAATTTCACAAGGGTTATATATACAAATCTATGAGGCCCTTTTTGTAATCAATTACCTGAAGTTGTAGCCTCTATATTCACTAGAATACAAGCAGTTCACTTAGTCTTTTATGGAAAAAAAATGTCTAACGAAAGCATTTCATCAAAAAATATCCAACAGCTCTCGTGGCTGCAACCCCTTTTGATTCACCCCGCCACTTGTACTCCCGTCAACCACTTCACTTGTCTGAGCTGGCGCCACTTTGTTTTGTTCGTACAGTTCCAACATCTGAAAGAAAAAAACAAACAATGATGATGATGATTAATATTTATATTAGTTTATAAGGGCAGAATTGGAAATAGGATAGGAGAGGGACCTTCTAGCCGGCGGGGGTGACAAGGTTATGAGGATAGAATAGATAATGTACAAACTTCAACTCTTGAAGAGTAACTTAGCTTAGAAGAACAGAAATAGAAATGACGGTACCTTCTGTTTGATTCTTTGTATTGCCCTAGGATCCTTTTTGTTATTAATCTCATAAGAAACAAGAATAACATCTTTCAAAGGATGAGGAGTTTCTTCATCCTTTGTTTTAATGGAAGGCAATAAATAGCATAATTCTTTTCTCAACAGAAGCTGAAGTTTTAGGTTTAGTTGTTACGTCAGCATCCACATCAGCAGCAATGAGTGTTGACTTGAGCTCCTTGAGGTGAATATCTTTATCTCTTCCATGTTCTTCAATTTTTTTTGCAAATTCTTTGTCTAATAATCTTAATTTCTCTAATATTATTGAAGGGTTCTTATACAAATGATGAATAATATCTTTATCCACTCTGTACTCATTTTCCAAATATGCCCTTCTGTTATCCCATTCCCTATTAAACTCCTCCATTGCTTCACTTAGCTTTTCAGTCGATTCCAAATTTTCTGCAACCGATACTTCAACATTTTGATTCTGTTGACTTTTAGATGATATTTTCTGCTTGGTTGACTTTGAATCTGTGCAGATAGCTTGAGGTGGTGATTTCAAATCTTTTATTTCAACATGTTTCTCTTCTGTCTCTATTTGCTTTAAGAAATCCTATTTAGTTTCTTTAAGCTTGAAGTGAACAGAATTCACCTGTTCTTCCTTACAATCAAAATTCAATTGCTTTTTTGCAAGGTCAAAAGACTTCCTTCTATCAATTTTATGTTTTGCTAGTGAGGCCCCAATCTAACACTGAAACGATGAATGACTTCATTAAAATTAAATACATTAATAATGTGAAAAATTAGGGCTTTAAAAAAAGTTCATACCAGTGATATCATGAAGGCTTGTAGAGTAGAAGTATCTTCCCTACTGACATTATAATTGTTGAGAAGAAAATCAAGAAATCCATCCACTTTGTTCTTGACATCCTCCTGTATTTTTACTTTTTAAGTCAAGAAAATATAACGAAAAATGTTACATTTGTATTATTGTCAAAAAGTAACATACCGGAAAATTTAGGATTTTACAAAGCTCATGCACAGTGGGATGTATAAGCTCAGGATATGACTGAGACTCGTGATTGACACCTGAAACAAGATCTGAATTATTTATTATAAAACTCAATGCACATAAATAAATTAAAATTTTGTTAATTTACCTTCATATGCCCCTCCGATCCCCCATTCCACAGGCCTTGAAGCAGGAGACTTCTTACACTTCTTTACAACATCAGCAGTAGGGGCAATTGTGTCCGATGTTTGACCATAATATTGTGTTCTTTTCCTTTGTCTTGAAGTTGACACGTGTACAAATTTCCATTGAGGGTATTTTCCCTCCAATAAATTTCTCCAAAAAACATGTGGCTGTTCTCCATCAAGCAACTGATTTTTAGTCTCACCATAGGGCATATTTCTATTCCCATACTACCCACAGGTTTGAACTTTAGTGATCATTGACTTTTCTCCATCTGTATGTTCTTGGAATACAAACGAAAAATCATTATCTATTTTTGTTGTGAATCAGAATCGATTGATAATTTTCGAATATTATTTGTAGGATTGAAATCACTATCGAATATTATTACAACGTGAAATGATGCTAACTTGTTGCTTGGTTGAGTGGAGCGTTCTAATAAAAAGATGAATTTATTTTGATTATTGTTGAAGCTGTTAAATGAAATATTTATTTGACTCAAACATACGTCATTCTTATGCAATCTAAGAAGATGGAGTGTATATAAACTGGGAAAATTATACAATCTGAAGATTCAGCAACAAAAAGCGTACCTCATCAACCTTCACGATGATCTAATCAACATTTTTACCTAATTCCTCCGCAACAGCACGTTCACCTTCGGTTCGAACTTCTGGAACGGGTGCATCCATTGTTTCCATTTATTCTTGAGACTACAATCCACGATTGAAAGTCTTTTGGAATAGTAGATATATTATCCGATGCAAACAAAGCTCCAGTGATGGGCTGTAGGTGTGTCGCTGGTGATGTCCGTTGTTGGAGAGAGAAGAATGGTTTAAAAATAGGTGGGGGGTTTTGTCATGTGAGATAATTATAGAAAAAGTAAAAGAAAATGGTAAAGGAAAATATAAGTTACAAAATTTCCCGGCATAAAAGAAACCTGGTGGAGAAGGAGAGACGAGAAGGTGAGGTATCGATTAGGGGTTGTTCAACTGGTAGCTTCGATTGGCGGTCATAGTTGTCGATTGACGCTGAAATTGAAAGGAGTTGCCGTCGCCGAACCATTTAGTGTGAGGATCAATTTGGAAGGCAAGGGTTTAAAAAATTTGGGATTTCATTTTCCCACTAAGGAGACGCGTGTTACTTAAAACAAAAATATAAAACGACATTCACAGAGGACGCACAAGTGCCCTCCGTGTTTTTAATTTTTTTTTTTACATAAGACACTAATTTAAGGGCGTACAATAATGCGTGACTTAAATCCTTAAATTTTTTTTGAAGAGATGACACTTTTTTAATGTCGCTCTCTTTTGCGTAACATAAATCAATGAGTGTCGTGGTTTGCGCGTCGTAAAAGGGTCTTTTTCTTGTAGTGTTGTCAACCAAGTTCCAAACTTGATTGTCATATATGGATTGAATCTTGCTGTCCATTGCCTCTTTCTATTTAGTAGACTCAAGGCCTACCATGGCTTCCTTGTAGTTGTTAGGTTCATCCAAATTTACTAGTGTGCTATCACTGATAAATGTATCACCTTCAATAGTAATATGTAAGCCATAAAACTCAAGTGTGTTCCTAACACTATTGGAACGTCTCAGAGGTAAGGACTTATTAATTGGTTCAACAGGAGTTTCCTCCTCGGGTTGAGTGCTAGTGTTCGAGATTCCTTCATCACTTAACTCTTGAAGCTCTTCAATGTCAATTTTCCTCCCACTGTCCTCTTGGCATATGAGTTCTCTCTCCCGAAAGACCCCTTTCTTTGCAACAATGACAACATTGTCACTTGGTCTATATAAGAGATATCTGAACGATTTATGTGGGTAGCCGATGAAATACATCGCTTACTACGAGGTTGGAGGTTGTCTTGAATTTCTTTTCTTACAAAAGTCTCGCAACCCCAAACCTTGATATGGTCAAATGTGGGAACATTCCATGTCCACATCTCGTGAGGTGTTTTGGAAACCTTTTTAGTAGGAACTAGATTAAGGATATGGCCGACAATCTCTAAGGCATGCCCCCAAAATGAGATAGGTAATGAAGCTCGACTCATCATGGAACAAACCTTATCAAACAAGGTTCTATTGCGCCTCTCAGCCACACCATTAAGTAGTGGTGTCCTAGGTGGCATCAATTGTGAGACAATCCCACATTCCTTAGGATAGTCATGGAACTCGATACTAAGATACTCTCTTCCACGATCGGATCGAAGCATCTTTATCTTCCTGTCCAATTGATTCTCCACTTCTTGCTTAGACTCTTTGAACTTTTCAATGGTTTCTAACTTATGCTTGATTAAGTAGACATACCAATATCAACTCTAATCATCAGTAAAAGTCACATAGAAGTGGTTAGCTTCCCTTGTGGTGGTGCTGAAGGGTCCGCACACATCTGTGTGTGTGAGATCCAACAAACCCTCACCCCTTGCACAAGAACCAGTGAATGGTGATTTTGTCATCTTTCCAAGTAAACAAGATTCACAAGTGTCATCCGACTTTAAGTCAAATGAATCCAAAACTCCATCCTTTTGGAGTTGAGCTATGTGTTTCTTGTTGGCATGTCCAAGACGACAATGCCATAAGGATGCTTTGTCTAAACCATTGGACGAATCGATATGCAACTCATTATTTCCTAAGTTATCTACAACCATCATAGTTTCATATATTCCATTACAAATTAATGCTTCAAAATAAAGGACATCATTATAATAAGCATTAAAACAACCAATTCTATTATTAAAGGAAAATGCGAAGCCTTGTTCATACAAACTGTGAAACGAAATAATATTCCTCGCCATATCTGGTGAGTAGCAATAATTATTTAAATCTAATTTTAAATTGTTACTAAGAAATAAAGAGTAAACACCAATCTTGGTGACAGGCGACTTTTACATATTCCCCATTGTCACACCTCCAAACCGGAACGGCAGAAACGTTCGGGGGCGGATGACTTCATGTGGTAACGTAACAAATCAATACATAGTAAAGAAAGAAATACAACCATCATATATATAATTGAAAGTTTACATTGTCAAAAGGTACATGTTCAAAACCAATTACAATATGATGTGAAAATATGAATTTAAACTAGCGCTGCAGCATCCTTTCTTCAAAAGCGGGTTGTTACCTGTAATTACTGAATCCCTGGGACATACAAGTAGTTTTGAAAGAGTAGATCAGCATTTAAGCTGGTGAGTTTCATAAGTATTAAATGAAAATGTTTGTATGAAATGAAATGTTTCGTTCTTGTTTGTTTGCTTCTAGAAAATCTTATATTTTCTACTAGTATAAAAGAAAAATGTATGTAAGTATAACATTTCCAATACTTCTGAAAAACCCCATAAATCAATGTGTTTTTAATACACCATGTGAGTTTTATAACCATGCTATTGACTAGAAAAGCCTATAGACAACGTTCTTCGGGCGTTGGAATGTTCTGACGTTTGTCTCCCCAAATGGTGGACTGTAGCTAAAAGTCAGGGCGCGGGTTGTCAAGCCCGTATAGATCTATACACAAACATCATGCTCCCCCTCCAAGGGATTCTGGTATATAATACAGGACTTGGAATGTGTACTTGAACGTACGTGAAGTTAATGTCTCACAAAACATAGTATAAAACAGATTTACATGTGAAAATGTTCATTTGTTCTTGTATGTGAAAGTAAATTTCTTGAAATGGTATTTCTAGTATGTAAAAGTTTGTAATGTCCTCGTAAAACTATACCTACTATAGTTCTCTAAAAGTGTGTCTCGTTTGTATAGTAATCCCTAGTAAAAATGCTCACTTGTTATGAAAAGTTATAATTTATATAGTACCCAGATGAACATATATACATACAGTACAAGCAGAGTGTTTGATCTATACATATATAACCACATTTTTCATTTCCAAAAATATGATATTATCGTGATATATTTTGCATACGAAAGTTTCCCTATAATAGTTATAAATCACATATGATTTCGTTGATAAAAGTGTATAACGAAACTTTATATATAACACACGATAATAATCGTATGTTTTACTTGTATTCCCCCTTTAAAAGCATATAAAAGTTCTTTATAAAACATTTAAAAGTGTAGCTTATAAGGGTATTAACTCACTTGAAAGATCGGAAAAAGCGTGAAGAAAAACCGGGAAGAAATTCTTTTCGAGAAAGCGGATTTTCTCGGGATTCTCGGGAATCTCGGGAGCACAAACGACCTTCGAGACTTGAGCAAAGTGATCGGGGCTTCGGGTTAGCACGGGCACGGAAAACGAGGCAAAACGCAAGAAAAATGAGAGAAAATGAGCAAGTTTCCCGGGAACCCTCGGATCCCTTTTATAGGGGCTGAGAGGCCTCGGTACGCGGGGCGTACTCGTGCGTCATGCGTGACCGAGTCCTCGACTGCCTCGGCTTCGGACAGGACGGGACGGGGCATAGCCTCGTATAGGGGCGACGTGGACGAACTGGAGCCTAGTCCTTGAGTACGCGGGGTGTACGCCTGTACGCGGCGCATAACTCAGATAGGCTTGTTGACTCCTCCTTCGGATAATACTAAGGTTTAATAATAATATTTATATTTTATTTATTTAATAAAATTCTAAAATTCATATCTTCTTCATAAAAACTCCGTTTTCGATGTTCTTTATATCCACGCGTAGGTGAGACTACGCTCTACCACTTTCGTTTAGATTCCGTCGGCAAATTTCGAAATTATTTTTATTATTTATTATTAAAATATCGTGTTTAAGAAAATTTCGTTAGAAAAATCATAAATTCTTAATCTGACGTCAATTTTAGCCAGACTTTTTACCGCTGAAATACCATTGTCGAGACCTTCGATTCTCGTTTAGGTCATTCCGGTCAAAATTCGCTCAATCTCCGATTCGAGTTTTTAGCTGTCTGTTGCTAAGTCGGACTTGGAAAAATCATAACTTCAATATACGAAGTCGGATTTGGGCGTTCTTTATACGTACGATCACAATTTAAAGACATCAAACATAGTAGGTAATTAAATAGAAACTTTATGGACATTTTATTTTTGAAGTTAATTTCATTAACTCAAAAGTAGTTACAATATTTGACTTTTTAGGTTATTACAAAGAGTTGAAATATTGGGTTGTCACATCATCCCCCCGTTAGAGAGAATTTCGTCCTGAAATTTTAAAGTTGCAAAGATACTAGTGAGTTAGAGAAAAAGATGAGGGTACTTTTGTTTCATCTGATCTTCGCGTTC